CTACGACTATCACTACTACTACTACTACTACTACTACTACTACTACTATTACTACTACTACTACTACTACTACTACTACTACTACTACTACTCCTGCTGCGGCTGCTGCTACTACTGCTACTTCTACTGCTACTGCTACTGCTACTGCTAATGCTACTGCTACTGCTACTACACCTACTACTACTACTACTACTACTACTACTAGTACCTGCTACTAGCTGTAGGAGTTGCAGTTGTGGCAGTAGTAGTACAGAGACTCGGTCAACACGACCAGCTTCATGTGCCCTTGCATGACAGCAGCACTTTTTGTAGAACAAGCACAGCTTAATGCGATTCTGATTGTTCCGGTTGGGTACATACAATGTACATCGTCGGTTTTGCTTCAGTCATGTCCAGAAACATTGCAGATTTCATTCTGATTTCCGGCGTCTTTATTTTGAAAAGACGGCACGCTGTCAAAGCTGACATGCTTCTGCAGCCAACGCCACATTGGAAGAACAAAGTGTTGCCTTGGTCACCAGGTAGGTACGAGTACTGTGCGATAAGAAGTGTAAGGATCCGTCCAGATGCAAACTTCTCATTGCCACAATTCACAGCACCAGCACAGCGAGAAAGGTGAACATCAGCTACGGGCTTGGGCCAGCAAAACATCACAGAAAATGCACGCAAAGTTGAAGAAACTATTGAAGTCTCGACTCCGAAGTTGAGGTCGTGGGCAAACCGCTGCATTGTGGTCTGATCCTTCTATGAGTTCCCTGCACTGAGCCTACCCACGAAGCAAGATGCAAGGGCAGAATTGATTTTTGCGGCCATGTCGCAGGTTGCCCAGCAAGCTGCTGTTGTGCCGCCTCATTAACATGTGAAGGTGTGAGGGTCCCATTGCGGGTTCAGAATCATGCAGGAGGATATCAACAGCCCGCAACGGGGCCATCACCCCTGCGAATTCGGTCTAGTTTGCACGATTGAAAAGGGCAGTTATGCTGAATGGGAGCAAGCGGCATTTCGGCAGGCACGACCAGAAGCTTTCTTGACAGGAGCATTTTGTACAGCCTCGACGCACACACACACACACACACGCGCACAGATTCATTCCACACTCCTGCGCAACGCAGCTCGCAGAAATGACTGACTTGAAAGCCAGTTAAAGCGAATGTACTGCCCATGTATTGAAACTAAGCCACTAAGCCCACAGGAAGAGCTTTCTTTTGGGCCAAGCTGCATCTTTCCATGAGTGTTGCAAACTACCTTAGTCGAACGAGCTGCATCTGCAGACGGCGAGGCAAGCAGCGCGATTGGGCCGCATCGAAGCCTTATCTGATCTCATCTGCAAGTGCCTCGCCTCATCCGCCTCACCATGGAGGATAAAAGTTGGGCACTTCACCTTTGGCGCAGTGTCCTCGAGATCAAGAGGAAGGCGTCGAGACACCAAGAACTGAACCGAAGATAGAGCTCACCGGAACACCGCGAGGTATGTAGTTTCAAGGCTAGCTGCCTTTATCAAAATCTTGCTGCGTCCAGGTTCCTTCTCTCATAGCGGCACAAAGACTGGAAGCTCTCCAGATTCGCCTATGCTGAGCGTGCATAACGTACGCACACGTGCGCATGTATGTACATGTACAAGCGAAGACGTAAACTTATAACTGATGTGGAGACACGCGCGCACCTACATCGGTGTTACCACATGAACTGCACCCCCGGAACCCTCATACAAGTACTCTTCTCCACAGACTCTCCACAGATCCGTGTCACACCACACCGGAACTGGAATCACAACAATGATGAATAAAGAACCCGTTAGTTTGTTCATGTATGCCCCATGCGTGCTGGTGATAACAATGCCCAAAGCTAAATCAGTCTCGACCACTCAAGACAATATGTCTAGACCGGAACCCCCAAGTTTGTGATACATAGGTTCGAGGATAGGTCGTCCCCGCAGTCACCTTCAACCCCCCCCCAAAAAAAAAAAACAATCCAAACACAGGAAGGGGGACTACCCTTATCTGTGAAATATCGGAGCTTTGTAGTCCTTCGACACGAAGAAGTCCTCGCAAAAGCCAGCAAGGCCTCCGATCCTGTCCTCTGCAAGCTCTCTACCGCAACAAGCAAAGCAAGTCCCTACGGAAGAAGTTGGCCTGTGCCTGCCTGAATTCGAAACATAGAACTCGCGAGGAAGATGTGGTTGGGGGATGTGTTCAATATTATATACATATGTACATATATATATCTATATATAAATAAAAAAAATATATATATATATATATCTCTTATTTGTAGATAATTTAGATGTATGCGCATTTAACTAAATTCGTTCTTCCCAGAACGACCTTCTTCACGAACATATAAGTTTACTTAGCGGATTTTTCGCGGGCCCTTCACGGACACATATTTCACATGTTTCTGTGGTTTGATTATGGTTCAAAATTCGGTTTGTAGGGTGCGGGGCCCCGGGGCTACGATTAAGGCCGGTTAGTTAAGGGTTCGGGCGTAAGCCATGCATGAAACGTGCCTACGACGTCTATGCCCCCGGCTGTAGTGCTATAGTGCTCAGTGCTAGTTGTGGTATGTCATGCTCGACTTTGGCAGCACTTTCGCGGAAGTTTCGCGGGTCTTTCACGCGACGCTACATGCACTAGCGATGCCGCATTTTGGCATCTGCCTGGAGTCTGCAGCGTGATGTAGCAGCATAAGCAGTAGCAGTAGTAGTAGTAGTAGTAGTAGTAGTAGTAGCAGTAGCACTTGTTGTTCTCGTCGTTGTTGTTGTTG